GTGGGTCGGGGCACTTCATACGGCGAGGGCACAAAGAATAAAAGCGCAGGAAGTTCCAGCACGCAGTCTCCGATTAATCCGAGTTTCGAACTCAGTTCGAGTCGAGGTATGCGATTCGCGGCCAGAAAGGAGGTTGAAATTGGACTGGACCGCGAGCTACATAGACAGCGGGATGAAGACGACGTCAACCCGGCGAAGTATGGCGAAGTTTCGGCGGCGTGATCTCGAGAGATAGTTATGTTCACGATATGAATGGGTTGTTTGTTTATCTGAACACTTCACCTTGAGCTAGCACCGAATGTAGTTGTACCAATGCTGCGTGAACTCGAACAGAGGGGCCATTATCTCGGTCTCCGCGGCAGTGCAGCTCGGCCCTCGGGTTGAATTCCTGGGTGTACTAAAGAAATTCAACTAAAGTTGAGTCCACGCTGCCCCCAAACTCGAGTTGCCCTCCGAAAAAGTTGAAATAATATGAAAAGTTGTGTCAAATACTTTTGGTACGGTATATCGCCTATACAAGAACGATCTTTATACTGTATGTGGGGACACCATCTTGAAGACGTACTTGTAAAATTCTCCGGTTGATTGTATCCTTGGGCGGGGGTGCTGGTCAATTTGACAGATGAAATCGCAGTAGAAGATCATCTTGACACCATGATCCATTTTCAACGTGGTATTTTGATTGGGAGACTGCAGTGAACAGAGAAGGCCCACACCCTCGCATGATACAACCATTTGGAGAAATCAGTGGTAGACGTGCTCGCACAGCTTCTTTGGTCAATCTGATCGCGCCACCACGGACGAAGTTCGTTTGAAGTCAGTTCTACATTCAATGATTCTCGAACCCGAGTCCCATCGGCAACTAATCGACCTTGGAACATTCTTCCAGGAGGCAAGAGCCACGACTTTTACCCGCCTAAATTTACCGCAGAAATCTAGAAATAGTGGACTCTGATATCAACATATCAGCGCACGTAATGAGGTGAGGAACGGGGTTAGAAACTTTCCCTGACGATGTAATAAAGGTGGCGTACCGAGGGCCCGAAACGAGAGTTAGACGTGTTCAAACTTTAAGGCATGAAATGCTACGCACAGCAGCGTCAGCGAAGTGAATTCATCAACACGGAATTGAAGTTTGGGGAGAGGCGGCGGCTAGATGGAGGCGCATGCGAGAAGGAGAATCGATGGAGGAGTCTGATCTGAATGGTTGAGGTGATTCAATCTTGAAATCAGAGACTAGGGTTAATCCTAGTCTGAATCTACTGTTGATCCACTCCGCACGTGAACTTTCCCACGGATCGAATCCGGAGAACACGCTCGCGATCGGTATCCGTGTCAACAGTTGTGCAAATCATTACCTGAAATGAACCATAACGTCCATTAAAGCATCTACAATTTTTTCTGGAGTGAAGCGCCCTGATCTGACCTCATTACATGCACAATTAACAGTTTGAGTCAATGGAGCATATTCTCACGAAATGTGACATAGCGGGTCAAACAGAAGTTTGGGAGCTCGCAAGCGAACTCTGGGTGCTGAAGACAGGGGAGGAGCTCCCGAACAAATTATGGCGTGCGCCGCCACCAGAAAGAAGGACGCCGGGACAAGCCGCCTGTACCGGATCCTTGTCTCGGAACCGCATCTGGTGTGGCGCCTGCGTAACGAGAGAGTGATACAACAAAAAGCCGCCGCCTCCATCTCGGAAATCCACAACAGATGGCTCCATGCGATAAATAACAGGTTATTAATTGGCTGTGCTATGACAAACAGAAGCAAGTATGGCAAGAGAGCCATAAAAACTGCAGTAGTGAAGCAAACTTGGAAAGGTGTCTTGAAAGACGAAGCTATTTTCCTTAAAGAGTGGACGCAAACGCGGGAGGTCGGGGTTTTAGTGGGTACTTATCGGTTGAACTGATGATGAAGATTGTTCCGGCGGCAACGCCGGAGTTAGCTGGATTATAGCCCCACACGACGTGTTGTTGGACACAAGTGCGACTGCGCATTTCCTCGAGAGACTGCGATTTTTTTTTTGTCCTGGCCAGGTTCCAAGTCCAAGGCCTCAAAAACAACGGGTGGAAGTGACTGATCTATGTCGGCCCGAGATTATGTGATCGGAAGTGGACACTGGACGAGCACTATCAGGAGGCAGCATTCAAATGCGTCCTTCATGCACTAATCATGCACCGCTAATTCAAACGTTTCTCAAAAAAAAAAAATCACTGTCAGCGTGTGAGAGATCAAGAGCTCGGCTGCACGGATTGACGTTTCTTCTCTTTCACACGTACCACCATGGCAGATGCAGAGGCAACATCTGGCAAGATAGTGCTCGTAATGCTTTCAACAGGGAAGCAAGGTGGAGCAGTCGTACGCGGTGTGTTCTCGTTCTCGCTTCTTTGGCGCCTAGATGAAATGCAAGCGCTTATTCGTTGTTTCATCATCCCATCCAGCTCTCGCCAAAGCAAACGAGTCCACTCCCTCCGATACTCCCCTTCCATGGCTCATCCTCGCGCAAACTCGGGACCCTAATTCTGCCAAAAGCAAAGCCCTCTCATCTCTCCCCGGCGTTCGCCTGCACAAAGGCACCCCGACCGACCCCCTGCCGCTTTTTACCACCGCGCCAGGTCCTGTCTACGCAGTCTTTTCCGTGCAGCAGAGCGTCGACAACCCGAAGGGCGTCACTGGAGAAACGGTGGAGGCCAATACGCTCGCGGACGCCGCCGCCAAGCATGACGTGAAACATTTCGTTTATGCGAGCGTGAATTTTGGGGGCGTGGAGGGGAAGAAGACTTATGTCCCGCAGTACGCATCGGTCCATTAAAACGTCTGCATGCATTGATTTTGTCTATTCCTATGCACCGTGACAGTTTTGAATCTAAGCGCTTAGCAGAAGAGCACCTTCAAGCCGAACACCCCACACTCCCAGTAACGATCCTGCGCCCGGCGACATTCATGGACCAGCTGGTCGCCGGCGACCCCGCCTCCGCCATCACCCGTGTCACGAAGATTATGTTCCTCACCCAGCTCTGGGCCACAACGCGCCTGCAGTTCATCGCGTGCAGCGACATCGGCGGCGTTGCAGCTCTTGTGCTCCAAAATCCCGAGCGCTATATTGGGAAGGGTGTGGATCTGGCAGGTGACGAGCTAAGTCCGGCGGAGCTCGAAGACGGATGGCGTGAAGTGTTTGGGGAGGAGATGCGGCCGAAAATGATGGGCGGTGGGGTCCTGGCGTGGGCAGTTAGGGCAGGCATGAGAGAGTTAAGGTTGATGTTCAAGGTGCGTTTCTGTGACTTCCTTTGTTCCTGCCTGACACGTGGACGGAATTTAGTTTTTCAACGAAATCGGCTTCAATGCCGATATACCTGCGCTGAGGGAGCAGTATCCCGAGTTGAAGGATTGGAAGACGTTTCTGAGGGGGGAGATAAAGCCGAAATCTGCCACAACATAATATCTCTCTTGGGCGATACTTGAACTTTTCTCTTACCCCAGAATTATCGCGGTCAATGAGTCAGACATTTTTGCACAGTTCAGTTGGAATAAACACAGATTTTCTTTCGCATCCATATCTACTGCCGTTGACGAGTTTCTCTTCCCCTTTCAGAGTTGAATAAGAAACCGATGAGAGGCGGCCTGCGGCCTCCATTCCGGACATGAGGGTACCCCGTTCGATCCGGATTCAATTCATTCTGTCGTCATGCGTCGTCTATTCCTTGTTTTACCCCGGCGCTGCCAAAAAGGCAAATAAAATGGCGCTGTGAGACCCGTGAAGACCTGATTGCGTTGGACGCGCCCTCAACAATTTAATTGAACGAGCCTTCCCGAAGGGTGTCCCGTTCGATCCGAGACCAGGTCTTGTGCACGGAGGCCTCTCGATTTGTTTTTCTTATTGCAACAGGAATCACTTCAAGCTGTGCGCAAGGACAAAAATGTTGTTATGCACCTTTCGATAAGATACGGTGTTCATCAAAGTTTGAACATCTATGGACAGCTCGTTCGATGCGATGTCGGGTCATCTCGCGTTTGGTTGTCTGCACCGTAGATGACTTTGATTTGCTTGTATAAAGCCGGGGAGGAAAGAAGTACCTGATGATACCGGTGCCTAGACAAGTACTTCGTTTGCCGCAGACGACGTAGATCGTTTCTTCCCCTTGAACGTTTCAAGTGGCAATTGCGACCATCTCTTTCTTACTGAGCAGATAAAAAGAGTTGAGAGTAAGACAAGGCGGTCAGGAAAGGGAATAAGACCTGATAGGGCTAGTAGGCCTGATTGTCACGGGAACGGCCGTCGTTTCAACGGGAGTCCAGTAATTTAAACTAACGGCTCCACGGGACGTGACGGATGACGGGAGCGACGGGGTCGGCTACCAGAGGGCTACGAAATGCAGGTACAAGACAAGAAACGCATGGACGCGATTTTGTATATGGACGGGGAGGACTCGGTGAAAAAGCACCGCGATGCCGAGAACACTGCTTTCTCGTCGGTCCACCACAAATCCGAGTTGTTCATACATCGAAAGCTGGTACACGTACCTGGTCCGCGTTGGAAGGATTACCAACGAAGCGCACCAGTATTCGTTGAGATATGATTATTTCGCGCCAGAGGTTTGAAAAGATGACAAAACTTCAAAGATTACCGACATTCTTGGCATGAAATTTGGCGCGATAGAAAATGGTGGGTATAGTCTGAAAGGGCTGAGTCGGGGCTACACGGTCATACGATCTTCCTCTTACATGTAAATTCTCTTGGCATCATTTCCTTCCATTTATTTCGTTCTGATTTTGTTCCACTGCGGGCTCAGGCGACGATACGATTTAATTAAAGGTGTGTGGCTCCATTACAAATGCTGGCACTTGACGTCCGAGTCACTGCAACACAGAAAGCACACCCCGACCCATTCCATTACAACAGCTTTTGTGATTGTTTAAATTATTATTGCTCAAAGGAGTCAAAGCCATCGGCCACCACATCTCTTCCAATTTCAATCAAAAACAACATTCAGAAGAAGACCTGTTAGCGCAGTCGGAAGTGTGCTCGTAGGATTTAGTAACTGTGTCACAGAATTGTATGGGCGGCCCCGGTCCGAACCCGGGACAGGTTGTTGTTGAGGGTGAACTTGTTCTTTTTTTTTGCTTCCTCCGGGTCTTTTTTTGTGTCGATTCACTTTTTTATGTTCTTCTTGTGTCGATTACTTTCTTTTCTTATTTCAATCATGATTTCGTTTTGTTCCACTGCAGGCTCAGGCGGGTACACACAATTTACGTAAAACCGGGCCCAGGATTTTGAGTCCCCAAATTGCCAGGCTAATTTTACGAATGTTTGATGTGGAACGCAAAAAGCACGCATCGCCCGACACCGACCGACCCGTTCATTCCATTCAATTACAACAAACAGTTATACATTTTTTTGATTTTTTTTTTATATTACTCCAAGTCATATCTTACATTGGAACTGAAACTAATAGAAGAAGGGGAGAGGAAGGAAGACCTGTTGGCGCAGACCGACCATGCTATCTAAAGAGTTGGATCGATTGATTTGCGGGAGGACTCTGGGACAGGAGGAGCATACTTTTTGATTTTTTGATCAGGCCCCCCACCACATCATATTCCAACCTCAAAACTAAAATGGCAGGAGAGGAAGACCTGTTGGCGCAGTTGGAAGCGCGTCCGTGTAAATGTCTGCATTCTGTTCGCAGACTTGTGCGGGAGGCCTCGGTTTGAGCCCGGGACAGGTCATAGCCTCCTCAAATGAAAGGTTTTTGTTTTCCCCTTCTTTGCGTTGTCGACCCCTTTCTTATTTCGTTCTTATTTTTGTTCCAACGCGCGCTGTGACGACACGATTTAATAGCGGACGCCATTGCATTCCAAATTTTTTTTAATAGATTTACTTAGATTGGGCTCCAAAAGTCTTCCGCGACTACTCCCAACCGAAATGATAAAAAGGGAAGACCTGTTAGCGCAGTCGGAAATGCGCCCGTGTGATATAGTATATGTCCAGCCCTGTTGTGTGGGAGCCCCCGGTTCGAATCCGGGACAGGTCATTCCCTTTGTTCTTCTTTTCTTTTCTTTTTTCTTTCCTTTTTTCGTGTCGTTTCAATTTTTCTCCTTTTCCTTTCTTATTTTTATTTTTATTTCGATTTCACTTTGCACCACGAGAGCGACTGGATTTCTAGTCGCTAAATCGCCAACGCCAGCTCTCGCCGCCAGGACAGGTACACACCCGGACGGCATTCCATTCCATTTCATTGTACAACAGTTATAATACAGTATGTACATACATACACCTCGTCCCGAGGACGCCGTCCCCGCTATTAATATTAATGAAAACCTATATTGGAGTACCCACACCCGATACCCCGAGCGAAACCGCGGTCGCAGACATACCCGTCCGTAGTCATAGTATACTCCCGCCCGTTCCCCCTACTCCCCCCAGCGTGAAAGCGTTTCGTCCCGGGCCATTCACGAGCACGTCGTGATCGACAAGGCGGCGAGTGCAATCGATAGGAAGGGCGCACGACCGATAGGAAGGGCGCATAAAAAACGAGGAGAGCGCACCCTCACTTCATCTTGAGCCCCCGTAGCCGGCTGACGACCTCGTCCATGCCCAGGCCCTGCACCGCGCCGCCCCACTCGCCGCTCCACCCCTGGCGCGACTCGCGCCGGTATGTCGTGCTCGTGCCCGGGCCCACGCCGCCGCGCCCCCCACTTCCGCCGTTATTACTCCTATGGCCGCGCGGCGCGTCGGCAAACTCGAAGGTGCGGGAGAGGAAGCGCGCGGAGCGCGTGCTGCGGGTGGTGGTGGACGGGTGCGCGGCGGCGGAGTGCGGTAATGAGGGCACGCGCACCCACTCGTCCTCGTCGTATGTGACGCGCGTGGGGGAGGGGTAGTCGTGCTGGTCGTGCGGGAACGCGGGGGACGGCGCGCGCGAGCCCAAGCGCTCGACGCTGCTGGAGAAAGCGGTGGCGTAGTAGGCGGGGGAGGGCAAGGCGGACGGAGCGGGTGACGGCGTGCGCGTGGGATAGAAGCCGGGCGAGCGCGGGCCCAGGGCGGCGAGGAGGGCGGAGACGGCGTCGGCGTCGGCGCTCGCTCGCCGCGGGCGGCGGTAGGGCGAGCGGGAGTGGGACTGCGCCTGAAAGACAAGCTCTGGGGGGACGTTCTTCCCCAGGGTGCGGGTGAGCTTGGCCATCTTGCGGCGGCGGTCGGCGGAGGGGTCGGGCGGAGGGGTGTTGGGGCCGAAGGTGGGGGAGAGGGGCGAGGGGAGGGCGCTGATGGGCCGGGAGCCGGGCGGTGAAGGGAGGCGCAGGAGGAGGAGCGGGCGTGAGGCGGGTTCGTGGGGCGTCTCGACGGCGGTGAGCGAGGAAGAGCGTGGGGGGGCAGAGGGGCCAGTGGTGGCAAATATACGGCCGGAGCGCTTAGACTCGATGCTGCTGGTGGAGGACGTGTGGGCATGGCCGCGCGGGGGTTCAACGAGACGGGGTGTTTCGCCTAGTAGTGCTTCGAGCTTGCGCGTCGAGCGCATGAGGCGGGTGCGCTGCGTCTGCCGCAGGGCGTGCGTCGTAGGGGGCATATCCATTTTAAACAAAGAAGCTCGTCAAGGGTGGTGGTGATGTACAGAAATGAAAGAAAGAGGATGGATGGATGGGGACCCCATTCGTCGAGAGTAAAAGGGAGACGGAGAACAAGGGCCTAGTCGCGGCGATCACATCGGCAATTTAATCAATCCCCATAAGGAACAACACCCGAAAGAAAAACAAGGTGATCCTTGTTTCTTATGAGGAACAAGGGCCTTGCACAATACACTCCGACAGACCACCTTTTTGGAACATCTGCCTCTCAAATGCCTCCCATCCGAATCTATTCTTTCGTGGTCCCATCTCATGACGTTACTTACAGTACCACACCACTCTTTCCTCAAAAACCCGAAAAACCACGCAAGGATCCTCCTCTTCCTCCATCTTCAAGCTCGGTGCTGTTGGGCATTCTAGAATTCCTTCTGCATCGTCCCGCCCAAGTGCTCCCTTTCTGAATTAAAATGAAACGGCGGGGAACAAAAAAAACAAGATTGTCAAGAACTATGACCCATCCCAGGGTCGAACTGGGCTCTCCCGCATATGTAATTTCTGCCGAGACATCAAAGTTGTTGTGGGTGCGCTGCCGCGTGCGCCAACAGGTCGTTCTGGTATCATATATTAAACTGCAATAATATAGCTTGGAATTTAAAAATGAAACGACCCAAAAAAAGGCACCAATCGACGAATGACGCATTCCAGAATCGAACTGGTGCCTCCCATATAATTCTTCGACCAAAGACGAAGTTTGTTGCCGAGTGCTTCCTGGTATGTGAATTGAGCTAATACGATATCTAGTGGACGAGATGAAATGATCCACTTACACTCGGGACAAAAAAACACGATATGTGATTTGAAGCATGGCCCATCCCAGAGTCGTCCCACATAACTTCACAGGGAATAACCAGTTATTGTAGCATCTGCACCAATAGGATCTTCCTGGAACGGTATGCATTTCTGGTGGTAACCCAACTGCAAAGTTCCATCGATATATGACTACACGGGTTTCCACGCCCTTTCGGATGTCCGTTGATTTGAATTTAAAAGGAACGATGATGAGATGTCCGAAAGGTTCTTTTCACCGGTTCGTAATCACACAGCTCGACGGCTGCTATGGTATGATTCTCCCATACGCCGTCCGACGACGGGGTCCGTGTTGGTGTCGGCGAACAAACCATTCGGCACGCAGAATCACCCGCGAAATAGGACACAAAATTGCCGAAGCCACCCCGTAGTCTAAGGGCGCCGCCGTGGTGCCTGCAAAGTATATTGTCAATCGTGGTTCACGGTCCAGGTGCTCAGGCTCTTGCCACGAGACACCGACACTCAAACCACCATCGAAAATGGCACGGATCTGTTGCTAATGATCGGGAGTCGATGGTGTGTGTATAGCTTTGATTCCCAACGATTCTCTGTCTTTCGACAACGGCATGCCTACCGACTCGGAAGCTGCACCCACCACTGCTAACCACCAAGACTTGAACCAATTTCTTTTAAACGGAGCTCACGTATTGTGCAGTCAGGAAGAATGGTTATGGGATGGATGGGATAACAATCGACTCATATTTTATGCGGACGGCACCGGCGAGGTGAGTGAGAAATGCTGTCTGGATACATATTAATATTCAGCAATTATCCAGATGATATCCCGTGCTGAAGCCATTGTTAAGATCGTCGCAGGAATACAGTGGAAACTACTCCCAAGTGCAGGTAGAGTGCCGATACCTGCAAGGGAAACCACTGTCATTCCCCTTGATCATATGCATTGGAGGGACGTATGGCGTCGACCGATAACTCGGAAAGAACCCACAACATTATTTGCGGGGATGGTGGAACTCACCATCACAAAACGCAGGCCGCTACTGTATGGGTCCGTGGTGCATAATCAAATCAACGAGGAGGTGCTTCTCGACGGCGCATTCGAGACCCGGCGGATCGACATCGTCATTGAGAACGGGGAGTTCGGCCTCGCTTGCCATTATGGCGCACGCGGCGGCATCGGGCCAATATATGGATTCCGCCTGACTTTCAGCACTTCACCTTATCCCCCGATTGAAATGTGGAGGCCAGAAGAGCACAACACAGCGGAGATGATGAGACATCCCCAGATGAAGCAGTTCTGTGCGCGGAAGTTGGTGGATGCGCAACAGTCGAATACATGTAGCATTATGTGAACCCTTTCCGCGTATATATGATCCTCAGAATCTTATTTATGAGTCGACTCATGCTGTGAGCTGGCCTCCCGAACACTCCTAGGATTAGAGATCCACAATATCAGGAAATTTGGAATCCCATAGTAACTTCTCATCTTCCCACACGCGCACTCGGACTGGACATCGGAACCGACTTCCGCATCCCACCTTCGCCCGGTACAAATGAATGGTACTCCCGTTCTGGACGATGTGAATCAATGTATACAACTGAATACAAGGAAATCGATGCCGCCGATGAACTCAACGGCATCCCGCGTTAGTTTCAGCGTAAAAAATTCATCGGTCCGCGATTAAATCGCGCGGTGGATTCAAATTAGGGCAAAGACAAAGTGCCGCAGCATCTGCCGCTGCGGCACTCGGCGGCAATTGTGTTGCACTGCCAAAAAAAACCCGCGTATATCGACAGCCGCGACGACGTGAGGGCTTCAATTCTTTGACCCTATTGGTCTTTCAGTCCTCCTGCATAAGCCTCGTCTGGGGGCCTTAAGAGGTGACTTGGCGGCGGCAACCTGCGGCACTCTGCGGCAATTACATGCGGCAAACCATGAATGGATGCGGCAACCTCATGCATAGCTGCGGCAGTCTAGTATTTTGCCGCGACCATTCTGCGTCAGTATGCGGCAGCCAGGCGGCGTGACATCGCGGCAGTGTGACTTGTGTGCGGCAGGCTGCGGCAATTCAGCAAGAGCAATTCAACACGCTGTGGAACTACACAGCGGCAGTTCCTGCGGACGTCGCAACATAGTATTGCTTGAACCGACAGCATCGTAGTTTCCATATTTGTACATTATTATTCATCACATCAGCTCAAGCCGGACAACCAACATCAACGGAATTCAACTTCAACCCTGCTCATCATCGTCACTTGTCTGACCTAACGATTCAGGGAATGGATCCAGCCACAGTCTTGCTATATAGCTGGTAGACACTACAGCTGATCAATCCCACTCAACACTGCAACTTATTTATATCTGGTGGGCGGAACAGTGCACAGTGTCTGGTTAAACTTGTTGCTGACACTCTGCTCAGCCTGCAGGCCACAGTTCAAAACTAAGTTCATTTACTTCGATTCATATGGGGTTCATCGTATCTAGTATGAATTTTACAAATATTCTCACCCCAAAACGAGTGCTCAACAGACTGTAAAACAGCCTGCAGGCAGTTATTGAATATTGGTTGCGGCACTAACACGGCAACCCTGCTGCCCGAATGGGCTGGATTCATTCATAAATTCCCGGATTTTGCTACACATTCAGTTA